TGTCCCCGCGGTAAAAAAAACCATAAATTGAAAATTTTTTTCAAACCAAAGAGAACCAAAGATAGAATTAATTAAAAAGATAGACAGAATTATTTGAAAAAAGCAAAAAATTTTCTAAAAATAGGAAATAAAATTTTAAATCTCTTAAAAAGGATAAATTTAGTCGCATTTAAGAAGAATAATAATAAACTCGGCATAATTCCTTAAAAATTTATTTTTATTCTGAAATTATTAATTTAACGTGAAATTTTTCTAAATTATGATTTGTAGTGACAATAATTTATATTAGGATGAGAGAGAGAGAGAGAAAAAAAAAGTTGAGCAAAAATTTTTAAGGGGTTTCGAGAACTTTTCTAATCTGACATATTTAAGTGCTCGTGACGAGAACGACCACGTGTGAAACAGTCCGTGACTGCATACCCATTCACACATTATTTTTCTACTATAAAGTCTCAAAGGAACAAGTCAATAAGCAAAATCAAATAGAGTAGCCCCCGTTATCACTAGGTTACCATGGTAATTATTCGACAAAAAATCCTGATAAAAAATAAAAATGTTTACATTCACATAGACCCCACGTTAAAAATCATGAATTTCTATATTGATAATGTCCTTATCAAAAACTACAAGTTCTTATCAGAATGAAAAAATCTCAGGAAAAAAAAGATCCTTTAATTTTTCCATTCCATTATATAATTTTCCATTTGTCATTTTTATAGTCCGTTTTCAAAAATATTATTTTTTAACTTTATAGGGACAAGTAAAATTTTATATACATATATTCTGGTTTAAAGATTATTTTCAAATTGAGAATAAAATTTATTTATTCTATCTCATATTAATAACATTTAATGTTGATGGAAAAAAAAATTTCTATCAAATAAAACGGAGCTCGAAATTGCTTTTATTTTTATTTTATTCCTTATAGACTCGACAAAGAAGATTCAATTTAATTAAGAAACTGCTCTTGAAAATAAAGAAAATTGTTATATTTAGATTCAAGTGCATTTTCTATCTTAAATATATCTCGCAAAGAAAAAAAACGTGATTACATACCAAATGAGCAGGAACGACTTCTAGCCGGCGTCTTCATATATCTTTAATCTGCAAAAATGAGGATGTCGGGTCCAGACGAAAACGTGCAAACGAGATTACTTCCCAGAAAACTCTCCTCATTCTTCAACCCTTTTTTTCTCTGTTTTGCTATTATCGCAAATCACTTTCGCTGAATGTCAATTAAATTTTCCTGTAAGGGATTCAACATTCCATTAATAACTTCATAAAATATGCAAAAAAAATTAAAAATTTTTTTTTAGTAACTAGTCGAATAAAAATGATAAACAAAAGAAAAACGTTTCATAGTTTTTTGAAATAAATTTTAAAACAAAAGTTTAAAAAAGAATTTCGAATAGGAAAAAAAGTGAGAAAGATTAAAATACGCGATAATTTTCGATTGTAGGCAGCTGATGTCGTTTATGATTCTTTATTCTTCCGCAGTCTTTTGAACCACAATGCAGGAATTGTCAAATTTTATCGAGTTTCAAATATTGACATTAACCGCCAAATCGTGTAATCCCTATGATGTAATCGAAAATAGAGATTTTTCGCCCATTCTCATTTAAATACGTACATAAAATTCAAATACATTTCCCCCTTTTTTCAAAGAAGAAAATTTTTCTCCAATATTTTCGTCTTTTTTAAAATATAATAATTTTTCAAACAAACAAAATATTTTTCTAAAAGAAATATTTTTTACTCAAAAAGTATATTACTTTTTCCATGCGATAAAAAATTTTAAAAAGATAATTTTATAAAAGGGGAAAAAAAATTTATTTACCAATTCCGTTTATTCGCTTGATCCAAATTGGAATTCGACAATCAAAAGAGTCGGAAGAATCGTCGTATTTTGAAGAACTTGAAATTCTAAAAACACATAAATGAAATTAAACGATAACGACAAGTGGAAAAATGATAACCTTTCGGCACACGCCACATAAATTTTTTTTGATTATTTCAAATACTTAGCTTTAGAAACAAATCCGATTGTCACCACTCCCTCAGGTCGTGACATTATTTTCTCGGAATTCCTTTTAATAATAATCGGCGGGTCAAAAAATTGTCCGGAAATACTGACTTCTTATTGTATATTTATAGAATTCGCTGGAAAAATCTATATATCCAGTTAAGAATTTGATAATAGAATGAAATTAAGATAAAAAAATTAAATTTTCTAGTAAAAAATTAAAAATAAAGAAAAAAAATATTTTTCCAGACGGAAACATGCAAAAAATATAAATTTTTTTCTAGACATAAAAAAGGATATATCATTAAGATTCAACAGAAATTGAATCGAGTCCTTGAGTGTCCTAATAAGATGACACAAAAATTTAAGTCACATGAATCCAAAGTTTTTAATCTCAAGTTGCGGATAAGTGGCACAAAAGCGTCGACATTCCCACGTTCTTCGCACAAGGCAAGCACAAGGTTTTTGATAAAGCTGTTGACTCGTGATCACATATAATTCCATAATGGTCCACCATCACCCCTACACTGCAATAGAGCCGAAAATATAAAAAAAGAAGTGCAAATATTTGACTCTCATATAACTCTCTTCCGGTCTGCTTCTTTCTTCCTCTCTTCCTCTATAACAAAAATGAACGTTAAAACAAAATATTAAAAAAAAAATAAATTTAAAGTACTTGAAAAACCCGATTTTAAATAAACATTACCTTCTTTTATCCACTATTCTTTTTTATTTCCAACAAAACGAAATTTTTATTGTTTCTATTTAAGTTTTCATAAAGTAAATTTATAGGTAAACTAAAATAAATTAAAATCAAATTTAATTTACTTAAAAAAATTTGCTTTCAATGAGAACTTAATTCGAAATAATAAAAATTTCTATCTCTTAAAAATTATCATCACTTTAAATCTATAACTAAATTTTAATAGGAGAGGTAATAAAAATCAATTCTTTTTATAGAATTTCTTTATTACGAGTAAATCGTCATTTCAAATAATTTCAGAAAATATATAATTGATATAGTTTATATAGAATACGTTAAATAATATATCGTGCAAAGATAATTCTTAAAAACTATCTATAGCTTCTCTTTCGTGAAATTTCTCTCATTCCTTAGAATTACGTACACGTAATAAAAATATTTCAAGAAAGCACACATTTTCTTCTTCTTCTTCTTCATCTTCTTCTTTTTCTTATCAATATCGATTTTCAGCTAAATAAATATCTAAGTACAAAAGCAAAAATTAATCATAAATTGTTAATTTTATTAATATGGCTATATTCCTTTACGCATTAATCAATTAATTAAATTAATTAAATTAATCAAGAAGAAAATTTGTCAACACGTAACGTGCACAGCACTTTTTCATTTCAGTAAAATATGAATCTCTTACAGACTATAATTGCGTCAAAAAGTAACATTTCAAATAATTTCTTTAAATTACTGTGTAATTTGCACTTGAAATATTTTTTTTCCACTAAATTGCAATTTAAAGGAAGGCAATATTTTCTTAATATTACAATCTGAAGAAATTTTTGCAAAAAGTCAAGTATTTTTTTTTTGAATTATTCAATTCGGAATTATTTACATTATTTAATTTGGAATTATTTAATTTATAATTATTTAGTTTATAATTATTTATTAAATTTTGTAATTCATTTAGTGAAGTAATTAATTATCCGATAAAATAACTAATTACTTACTGAATTTATCATTCAATTAGTTCAATTAATTTCAGAAATCAATTTCTTTTTTCATTTATAATTATTAATAATTATTCATAATTTATTAATAATTGTAATTAGAATAAAAACTAAAGAATGATTTTAATTTCCTCGCGATATTTCAACTAAAATTTCAGTAATTTTTACATGCGTTGAAATTTTAAGGAGTTTATTTTAAATGTCAGCGCACAAGTTAAATTAAACGTGTATAATAAACATTGAATGCAGTTTATGCAGTTCAAGTTTATACTATTAGATCAGGCACATATCGAAGCGGTATTTGTTTGTTCTGAAATCGTCCGCTTTGGAATGATCTGCTGTCATGGAATGATGTCATGGAGTCTCATAGGTTTTTTTTTCTGCCTCTTATACTTCGGCATTTCTCACACGTACAAATTCCATAATAATTTCTAATAAACGTATACTCTATATCCTATTATACTTATGCAAAATTAATGCATATATTTAGTTATAAAACTTAATAAAATTTACAGTACCGTCCGCAATTGTCAGTCCACCCATTTTTAAAGGAATGACAAAAATTTTTTAACATAAAATTCATGAAAACTAAAATTTTTTTTGGTTTATATTTTGAAAGACGATAAAATTTTGAAAAGAATAAGACCTTACAGAAGTCATTTGGCCAAAATTTGTAGAAGATATTCTTAAAAATCGTCATTTTCAATGTTTTACAAAAATTTAAATAACTTCTAAAATAATGAACGCTTTTTAATAATCTTAGGCTTATTTTAAATGTCTTTTTCTACGGAATAAGAATTACTTATAGGCATTAACCTGTCATTTTTAACTTGGAATAAGCATGACGTCAAAATTAGACAAAAAAATTGGAAAAATTTGAAATCAATTTTTTGTACTAAAAACTATTCTAGAACATATATAAAACATGATATGGTGTAGATTTTTCAAGAAAATTTAATAAAAATATATGTTTGAATTTCAAAAATTATTTTTCTTTTAATAATATTATTTCAAATTTTTTGAATTTTTTTGTCCAACTTTGACGTCATGCTTATTCCAAGTTAAAAATTACAGGTTAATGCCTATAAGTAATTCTTATTCTGTAGAAAATGGTCTTTAAAATAAGCCTAAGATTATTAAAAAGCGTTCATTATTTTAGAAGTTATTCAAATTTTTGTAAAACATTGAAAATGACGATTTTTAAGAATATCTTCTACAAATTTTGGCCAAATGACTTCTGTAAGGTCTTATTCTTTTCAAAATTTTATCGTCTTTCAAAATATAAACCAAAAAAAATTTTACTTTTCATGAATTTTATGTTAAAAAATTTGTGTCATTCCTTTGAAAATGGGTGGACTGACAATTTCGGACGGTACTGTATATATATAGTTTATAATAATTGCGCACCAAAATGACACGCGCGGTACTTATATTTAATTATAATCACTGTAATTAACCATTAATTACATCGTATTTGGCTATCTCTTCAACTCCCACTCTTTGTCTTCATTATAAAATTGTTATCGTCAACATAGAACGTCTTCAATTATAAATCGTTCAAGTGCTCCGAATTTTTTTCATTTCGGAAACATTTTTTATTAAGCAGTGTTTTAAAAACAACTGTTAATTTTAAAAACGTCGTTATAAAATTTCCAAAAAATATTTTAATTTCTCCAAAACAAATTGAAGAAACACTAACTACTAAATATTTAATCAATTTTTAATCAATTCTTTTGTAAATAATCTCCGATCTTGAATTAAAAAAATCTTACTTTGTAATCGAATTATCGAAATTTGTTTCGAAAAATATTAATTTTCAATTATTCTCAACTTGAAAATAATGGAGAAACATTTTAGAATCGATTTGAAAAATAAATAATTATTTCGAAAAGAAGTAATTAAAAATTGATTTTTCAAGACGACACAACATTAATTAAATAGAGTAATTTTTGTAAAAATAGTAAAATAACATTCGACGTTTTTTCCGTCCGGGAGGAAAAAAAATGGTGGGGGGACTTTAGCTAATTTTTTTTTTAAAGGAAATTGGAATTAGGCCAATTTTCGATACTGGGCACAAAACGATGATACTGGGAATAAGGATTAGAAACATGTGGATGACCCACTTGAGTTGTTGTATGTGGATGATGTTGAGTTGGTACATACTGAACAGACGGTAGTGGTGGCTGAAGATCATGATATCTCATCTCCTGCGATTTGTCTTCCCAGTACACTTCAGAAACGGATGAATCTGGATAATAGCGCTTATTTGGTTTCTCCAAATCTTCCTCGAACCTTAAAAAAATAAGAAACAAACTTTCTCAATATGCATCGACTTATACTACATCAAAATAATCTAGTGAATAATAAATTAATAAATAAATAAAAATAATAATATAAAAAGAATAACAAATAAATAAAATTTAAATATTATTATACATTTATTGAATAATTTCCACAAAATTTTAATTTTATTTTTCCCTGATTTCCAGACAAAATTTTACTTTTTCCTTGACCCTAAAGAACACCAATAACTTCTTTCATAAGAATATTGTAACTATAAATTCAAATTTTCAAAGATTTCAATTTTAACCCTTTTCAAAATTCAATTATTTCTAAAAATTCACGCTATTTAATACTTATTTAATAGTCTCCCCCCTTTGGTTAAAAATTTAATATTATTAAAAATTATCAAAAATTCGAAAAACCGATTTTTTTAAAATTCAATATTTTTTCTTCTTATATTCAGCTTCAATATTTTTGTGCTCTTAAAAAATACTTTACTTATTTAATAATCTCAACCCTTTGGTAAAAAATTTAAATTTATTAAAAATTATCAAAAATCCAAAAACCCGACTTTCTTAAAATTCAATATTTTTTCTTCTCTTTTATGGCATTTAGCTTTATTATTTTTGTGCTCTTCAAAAACACTTTACTTATTTAATAATCTCAACCCTTTGGTAAAAAATTTAAATTTATTAAAAATTATCAAAAATTCAAAAACCCGACTTTTTTAAAATTCAACATTTTTTCTTCTCTTTTATGGCATTCAGCTTCAATATTTTTGTGCTCTTAAAAAATACTTTACTTATTTAATAATCTCAACCCTTTGGTAAAAAATTTAAATTTATTAAAAATTATCAAAAATTCAAAAACCCGACTTTTTTAAAATTCAACAATCAGAGTTCCTACCGAAATCCGAATTTAAAATTCCATACCAGGTCAAATTTTTAGGAAATTCCAATGGAATTTTAAATTTAATTTTTACGTCGTATAATATATATTACATTTTAAAATTTCTAATTGAATTTCTATTCAAGAGAAAATATGGAAAACTGGAAAAATTTATAAACTTTTAAAAATCCCATACCATTTCCATGATTTCCATGGTTTTCAGATTCTGTATAGGAACCCTGAATTAAGTTATTTAAAAAAAATTATTATCAGAAATCGAAAAAATTGAAGGGTTTGTATTAGATTTATTCCTATAAGTTCTAAAAATTTAATTTTTTCCAGTACTTTTAATTAAAAATCCCTGACTTGTGGCAACCATGCCCCCATTACTAAAATTTAAATAAAAAAATTCAATTAATCTAATAACAATTTGGAAATGAACCAAAATTTCTTACCTGTTGAGAGGCCATTGAGATGATGTGGTGGGTGGCATGGAATTGTACTGATGAAGATTTTGTACTGACGGAGAAAGATACTGATCCAATTCATTACTTTCGACCTCGCATTCTTGAAGATTGAAAGGAATACCCAGATTCCCTCCTCCTAGGGAACTCAAACTACTGAGTTGTCCATCTTCCACCGATAAATCAAGATATCTCAGATCACCTTGTGGTGAATCCGCGGATGGAGTTGAGACTTCTTGATGATAAAGAGCATTGTTTGGTTGATGCTGATGCCCCTAAGCGCAGAAATACAAAAATTAATATCAAAAACTAAACTTTACTGATTCAAGAAAATTAATATCAGTAAAGTTAAATTTATTACGCTCAATATAATTGAATAATTTAATCCACTGTCAATTAATAGTATGGAATAATTTGATCAACTGTCAATTAATAAAAAGAAATAATTTAATCTACTGTTAATTAATAACAAGAAATAATTTAATCCACTCTCAATTAATAACATGGAATAATTTAATCCACTGTCAATTAATATGAACTAATATAATTTCCATTCAATTAAATTTAATAATCTATATTATTAATCGCATTCCGGATGTCTGTTCGCAGTTTGAAGTTAATTGTTTTTGTTTGTATTTTTGATTTCAACATTTTTTGATAATTTTTCTTTAATATTTTTTAATTTTTAAATTAATGAAGTTCTAATTTATTGTTTCAAAGATTAAATAGTAACAGAAATTAATTGTGGAAAAAGTAAATTTTATTAGTGCAAAAAACGGTTAAGGTTATTTATTTTATACGAAAAATTGGATTTTATTAACTTTAATGCCTTGTTTTATATAGAATTAGAAAATTAATTTAGAAATTTCATATCTCTTTTGTTTTAATTAGTTAACATTTTTATAATTCAGATTAAGAGAATACTATTGCTATTTATAAAGAATTTTGTCCAAATTTTTGAAAATATTTGAATTCTTTCGTGAAATTTGAATTAAATTGAAAATACTTAAATTGTTTTGAAGAATTTCATGAAATTTTTGAAAATAATGAATAATAATAATTATTAGGTAATTAGTGGATTTTAAAAAATTTTGAATTTGAAATTATCAAAACATGTCGCGGAAAATATTTACTAGTTCTAAATAATTTATTTAAATCGTTAAAAAAACTTCCTAAATTATAAAAGAGTGAGGCAAAAAAAAAGAAAAACTTACTTGATTAATATAATGTTGACCCGGAGTTGTTGGAGGGGTCGGTGGTGACATTTGAGACAGTCCTTGAGAAGGAGTCGTGGGAGGAGACGAACTGACACAATTCTGAGGCGAATTCGGACACTTCACACTCCTGGCATTAATGTTTTCTTGTTTCATCGACTTTGCGACACTAAAAGTCACATTCGCTTGATTCCTTGTGGGAGAATTTTCCCGACCACCGGGCCCATTCTGTTTTCTCCGTCGGGGTTGATACTTGTAGTCCGGATGCTGACGCTTGTGAATCACACGCAATCGATCGGCTTCCTCGATGAAGGGCCTCTTGTCAATGTCCGTCAGGACTCTGAAAACAAAAAGAACCAACAATTGTTATTTTATTTATTAAATCAATGTTTTACTTTTCTTTATCTTTTACTTTTTTCCTTTACTTCACTTCTTACTTTTTTACTTCTTCACTTCCTTACTTTTTCACTTTTTTTTCCTTTTTTACTTTTTTCTCCTTTATTTTACAATCTGACAGATTCTAGATTTACTTCTGAATCTCTGATTTTTGTTTTTAAAAATTTGTATTTCTCACGAAAAATTTGAATTCTAAAAAAAGTCTTCTATTGAAATTTTTTTTTTTGTAGATAAACTGAAGGATTTTCGCATCTTATCGAAAGAAATGCTATTTGACACTGACATGGAACGAAAAAAAGAAGAACTTGAGATTTTTCGTCGAGGGGGAGAATATTTTGAGGGAAGTGTCATGCGAGAGAGTTTCAAGATTTAATGTGTGTCGTGTCATACGACAAAGAAAGCCCATCTGGTCAATGGACTTTGTCTGAGTTTTTTTTGTTTTTTTTTTTTTTTTTTTGCTCTCTTTCGTGGGCTTTGCGCGATAACAGTTGTCTTACTTTTTGCTCGCCAGATGCATCACAGGGTCAGCTAATTTAGATGTGCCACCCTATCAGCTTGGTTATTTGTATCATATCAGATGTTACACATTCTTTCGCTGAATAGTCTAGTTCACACGGTGAAACGACCTTTCTGTATACACACACTTTTTACAACTTTGGCAATGACACTCGTATTATACAATCTCAGCGCAGAATTATTTCCTGCCAATTTGTATTCCTTTTTTCAATTTAGAGAATTTTTTTTTTGTAACAAATTATCAAACAATTTTCTTCGAGGGAAAATTGATTTTTTCTAGTTTTGAAAATCTATACACACAGGTTAAGAAAAATTCACCTGACAAAGACAAGGGTCACATTGTAATTTTCTTTCTTTATCTCTATATCAGAAACGGGATTGCAGCTGCTAGCACGCGCCAAGAATGGACTAAGTTATCTAGCTTTTTTGATAAACAACCACATAGTATCTTTCGAGATATGATCATCTGTCCCATTTAAGGATGAAGTGAGATTTATTTTAGATGTACACCACACCTGGATTTTTTTTATCAAATTCATATACCTACTGATAGATAAGGTGAGCGAATTTTCGGACTGCTTTTTTTTGGTAAGAAAAAAAATTAAATATGAAAGATTTATTATTATTACAATCTACTTATTGATTTCGATAGATTGCAAAAGCGAATTATTCATCAAAAGTTAATACCTACAGTGGGGAGCGATGATCATTAGGAAAGATGACTGTATTATTTGTTTCACTAACAGTTACAGAACGAAATGCGATCTCTGCTTGTTCAGCATCGCGAAGCAAGTCAATAAAATCTTTCTTTTTTACAAGTTTTTTTATTTTTATTATTTTTTTTATTCAATGTGCGGGGTCAATAACTCAAGATGACCCAATGATTCATTTTTAGTTTCTTTTTTAAATTAATTTCCGTTTATTATTTTTTCAATCGACTAGAATTTTATTTTAATTTAAAAATTAAAAATTTTAAATTTAAATTAACATTTTAATTAATAATTAAACATGAAAATTAACATTTAAATTAATAATTAAAAATTAAAAATTAAAAACTAAAAATTAAAAATTAAAAATTAAAATTCTAATAAAAAATTACAAATATTTCAAATTATTTAAATTCAGGATTGAAAAAATTGTGCGAGTTGAAAATTAATTCAAAAATATCCGCAATCATAAATGAAATCATTCTCTAAAATATGGCTTGAGAGAAAAATCACTCCTCGTTCATTCACCTCCAAGAAAAAAAAATCTTTACGTCATTTTATTCAAATTTCGTTCGTGTTTACATCAGAGAGGTGTTAATTTGATTTCAAGCTATGTATTTGAAAAAGTGTTAAAGTTGCTGATTAAAAAAAACATTTACTTTCGCACAAAAATACAAATATATTCCAAAGTAGAAAAAAAAACAGGTAAACATTTTTTTAATTTAGAAAATTTATATTAATTTAGCAGAATACTTGTGATCTGAAATTTCAAACAATTCGCGAAATAAATCGACATTAAGTAACTTTACCGAAGATATTGTAGATCGCAGATCATTGTAAAGGAAAAAAAACCCTATTAGGCAATGTAGTACATGATTCGCGATTGTTCGACCGGTGGATCACGATCATTCGAATTATAAAACGATTCCCAGCAGGGGTTCATGTCGGTGGATTCTCTGATGACTATTTGGGGCAAATGAAGTCTCGTTAGTATCAGTCAGGAAACGGAACTATATTATCAATTTAATTACAAATTTATATAATTCTTTTCTCAAAAAAAATTGTTATGCAATTTGCAATGCAACTACAAATTATTAAAATTAGAAAATTAATTTTTGTACATGCATATAAAGTAATTTAATTATTGCATAGAATTCTATTTGACTTGTTGAAAAATACTGTATTATTTCAAAAAATTTCATTAAAATTGTATTGAACATAATTGAATTATTTTAAAGAATTTTATTAAAATTTTTGAAAATAATTGAATTCTTTTCAGCAATTTAACTAAAATTGTATTGAAAATACTTGAATCGTTTCTAAGAATTCTAATGACCTTTTTGAAAATAACTAAATTTTTTCGAGGAATTTAATTAAAATTAAATTGAAAAATATTTGAATTGTTTCTAAAAATTCTAATAAAATGTTTGAAAATAATTGAATTCTACAAATTTTTTTTTAATTGTAATAATAATTGAATTCTATTAAAAAAAAGTTATCTAAATTCATAATAATTTAATTATTTTTACAGAATTTTAACAAATTTTTTAAAAATAATTCAATGCTTTCAAGAAATTGAATAAAAATTAAAATAGAATAGAAAATACTTGAATTTTGTCAAAGAATTCTAACGAACTTTTTGAAAATAATTGAATTCTTTCAAGGAATTTAATTAAAATTGTTTTAAAAACAATTGAATTCTTATAAAGTATTTTATACAATTTTTTAAAAACACTTGAATTCAATCTAAGAATTTCAACAAAATTAGAAAAATAATCGATTTTTTTAACTTTTTCATTAAAATTTTCGAAAATAATTGAATTCTTCCAAGGAATTTAATTAAAATTGTATTAAAAATATTTGAATTCCTAAGACAAAATTCCAGTATTTTTGAAAATGAGTGAATTCTTACAATTTTTTTTATTTGTGACAATAATTGAATTCTTTTTAAATAATTTTCTCAAAAGTTTTTTAAATAATTGACTGTTTTCGAGAAATTTTAATAAAATTGTATTAAAAATAATTTAATTCCCGTGGAGAATTTAAATATTTATAAAAATAATTGAATTCTAAGAACGAATTTTATTATTTATGAAATAATTGAATTGCGCGAAGAAAATTTTTAAAAGTACTTGAATTCTCTCGAGAAAATCTATTGTATTTGTACTGAAAAGATTTAAATTCCAGCAAAATTCTTATTGTATCAAAATAATTGAATTTTTGAGAATAATTTTTTCAAAACTTTAGATAATAATCGATTTGTTTCGAAGAATTTGATTAAAATATTTGAAAATAATTGAATTCTTTGGTAGAATTTTATCAAAATTTGGGAAAAATAATTAAATTGTAATAAATGAAAATATTTGTTTCACTCGTAAAATTTGCTAATTATGAATAAAATATTTTGAATAAAATAATTTTGGATAAAATAATTATTTAAATTAGAAATATCTAATTATTTACTATCAATTAATAACAGTTAATCAATTGTAAACTACATTGTCAATTAATACACTAATTTCAATCACGAAACATTTAATGCAAAACATTTCACTAATTTTAATTTGACCCAATTTCCACGATTCTAAATTATATTCTCATTAAGTAAACAAATTAAATTCTCACTGATTTTTCGCCTTTGACCTACATTTTACAATATAAAAAATAATCTTGATTGTTTAACTGATTATTAATTAGTTCAATTTAAGAGTCATTTAGAGAATATGTGTCAAATTTATAATTATAGACAAAATCTATTGATATTGAAAAGAAAATAGTAATTTTGATCCAAGAACCGGGTAATAACGGACCAAAATATAAAAAAAAAGAGGAAAAATAAAAAAAAATGGGAAGTTTACATTCACAGAAATGAAGAGGCGGACACTTGGTATAAATTTACGATAATCATGATGATCTTCGTACTCATGGTTGGTTCTTAGTTTCATGGCGTATACACACATCTGTGAGAGAATCCACCTTATCTGATCGGTACTTGGTAACCCTGATTAAAGACACGTGGTCCCGTTTAATTATATCGAAACGATGTCTTCCTAAGGGAATACATATATATATAACGAGATTTGTTTTTTTCCCCTACTTTTTCATCTTTGCACAAACGCATACGATTTTACCGAATTAGCGCCGAAAAAAAAATTTCTTATCAACAAGAAACATCTCTTTCGCAGAAGCGCGGCCTCACGAAAAATTACCTTCTTTAAAAAAACTTTTTTCTTTTCTTCCTTTTCCCAAATTTCTCCTTTGGCAACAATTTTCTAAATTACCTTCTTTAAAAATCGGATTTATTTCTATCGCAAGAGCTTTTTTTCAAATTTATCAAATTTCCTTTGTAGAAGTGTTTCAAATTTTTCGAAAATTGACTCACCGCCAAAGTTTTCCAAGAGTTTTCGACAATTCCGCATTATGAAGTTGAGGATATTGATCAGCGAGTTTTCTCCTTGCAGCTTGCGCCCAAACCATAAAAGCGTTCATCGGCCTTTTTATGTGAGTCGCTCTTTTATCACCGGAACCCCTGCAATTGAAAAAAAATTATCTTCATTGGAAAAAGTATTTTTCTTAAAAAAAGTATTTTTCACAAAAAAAGTATTTTTCACAAACAAAAAAAAACAAAAATTGTCGCAAAATAAAAAAAAAATTAGTCGCACTAAAAATGTCATTTTAATTATTCTCAAAATTGGATAAGAATATTTTTAAATTATCCCCAAGAAAAAGAGAAAGTATTTCCAAGAAAATGAACTGAAGCTAAAAGTCAAAATTATCACCTCGTGGAAATTTTTACCTCTTGTCGAGACTTTTAAAAGTCTCAATTAGAGAAACATATAAATGTATATATGTAAAACCAGGAAGAAAAATGGGCGAAAAGGGTTGAAAAAAAAGGAGGGTTCTCGTCAATTCTCAAGAGAGACAACCACGGTGACTGGCAAAAAATAATACGTTCTCTTAAAAGTCGAGATGTATCCGTTTCAAAGTTGTGGTGGCTGCTACCCTCCCAGCCGTAGCAAAAGCCCGCACGGTCTTAAAATAAACACTATACATTTTACATTTGATGGACAAACGGACATATTCCTTTCTTTTCTAGCTGATGACTTCATAAAACTTTTGCTTCTAAGATACAAAAATTGACGTCTAACCTTTTTTTTCTCCCGCATCAAGAGTTCTTCAAAAATTATTCAATCTCTTTCTCTATAAACCATAAATTAATTTCTAGTCACAATTTTTTTTCCCAAGCGATCCACAAGTTCAAATGAACCAAATATTTTTAATTGAAACTATTTGAATAAATTACTATTTCATTACAATAAAAATTGCAGCCATTAATTTTACATTTAGAAACTTTATAATTAATTTTTTTTTAAAATCCCCTTTTGACTCAAAATGATTGCAATTAAAATTTAATTTCATTCATTTGAACATTCAGAACTTTAGGATCATTTTTCTAATTCTACATGGAAAATAAGCAATAATTTCCCAATAAGAAGAGAAGATAAAAATTCATTAACATCTATGTGGAATTTTTTTTCCAATTTAGTTTTGTAGCCCAGTTTAAAAACTAAAACAATGAAACGAAAAATCAAGTTCAATATTTATTTTCGTTTATCATTCAATAATGAAGTGAAGCAGTCAATTGTCTAGTACTATAGTTTACATAAGGATAAAAATGATTTTATTTGCATATTTGAAAATTGAACAATTCCCATGAAATTTAAGTTGTACGAGAATAAAATTCATTGACTTTTATCGTATCGGTTTTTTTTTTACAATTTAAACATTGGTTTGTACCCTTTTCACATACAAGCCCTTTGATAACCCTCTATTTAAGTGAGGGGTATAAGTGGCACTGATAAGAAATGCCGGATAGTGTGCGATGGCCTGTGAGATTTTCACTGAACCTCGTTTCCCGTCGGTGTTAATTTAGGTGTCTAAACTGTCATTCTTCAAATAATAATAATTTGTCGATTAATCTTTAAATCAACACGAAAATATCCTGATAATTTTCTTTTTTTAATCTCTATGTATGCTACTTTATGCTAGTAAATAAATAATTCACCAATATTCAGATAAGAATTAATGAATAGAAAATAAATATTGCAAACAATAAAAAAATAAATAAATAATATAAAAATAACAAAAAAAGTAGGAAACAAATTAGTGAACAAAAACAATTGTTTTTGTTCACTAATTTGTTTCCTACTTTTTTTGTTATTGCTTTCATATAGAATTTTATTGAAATTTTTTAAAATAATTAAATTTTTTCGAGAAATTTAATTAAAATTGTATATTATTTAAAATAATTGAATCTGAAATAATTCAATTATTATTTTTGGCAAAACTTGAATAGTTTCGGAGAATTTAATTAAAATTTTTGAAAAACAGTGAATAATTCGAAGAATTTTATTAAAATTTTTGAAAATAATTAAATTCTTTCGGGTAATATTTCATGATTAAAATATCATTAAAAATATATAATTAAATTCTTATAAAAAATTTTATTGAAATTTTTAAAGTAATTGATATCTTTCAAAAAATTTTATTGAAATTGTATCGAACATAATTAAATATCTCTGAAGAAATTTTATATGAAAATAATTATATTCTCTCGATAATTCAATTATTTTTATAAATAATAAAATTCATTGGAAGAATAATTCTTCCACTGAATTTTGTTATTTATGAAAATAATTGAATTCTTGAAAAGTATTTCGGTAAAATTTTTAAAAAGTATTGAATTCATCAAGAAATTTTTTTTTTATTTTTGAAAAAAAACTCAATTTCTTTGAAAGAATTTTAATAAAATTTTTACAAATAATCGAATTTCTGGAAGAATATATTTATTTGTCAAATTAATTAAATTCATCTAAAGAATTTTATCAAAATTTCTGAAAGTAATTGAATTGTTTCGGAGAATTTTATTAAAATTTTTAAAAATAATTGAATTCCTGGAAGAATATTTTTATTTGTCAAATTAATTGAATCCTTTTAAAGAATTTTATCAAAATTTCTGAGAATAATTGAATTGCTTCGTAGAATTTTATTAAAATTTTTAAAAATAACTCTTTCGAAAAATATTTAATTAAAATTGTATTGAATTTTTAAGAAATTTTATTGAAATGTTATTAAAAATAACTGAATTCGAGCAAAGAAATTTATTAAAGTTTTTAAAAATAATTATTCTTTTGAAGAATTTAATTAAAATTGTATTGAAAACAATAAAATTCTCTGTAGGAATTTAATTAAATTGTATTAAAAATAATTGAAATCTCATAAAAATGGTTAACAAAATTTTGCAAATAATATTGAATTATTTTGAAGAATTTTATTAAGATTTTCGATAATAATTGAATTCAGGAATTCAATTAAACTTGTATTTATAATAATATTTAATTTGTTTTGAAGAATTTTATTAAAATTTTTGAAAATAATTTAGTTCTCTTCAATAATTTTATTATAATTATATTGAAAATAAGTGAAACATTTCCAAGAATTTCATTAAAATTTTTGATAATAAAAAATTAATTAGTTAATTAGTTTATAATTGTTTTTAAATTTTGAATCCGAAAGTATTCATAAATTGAAGTTGATATTTGAGACTAAAAAATTTTGTAATTTACATAATAAAAATAAATCGAATACCGTGTTTCGCACGTTGGCGTATAATATTTGCTAGTAATAAATTAATGCACAAATAAAATATAAACAATATCAAATAAATATTGTAAATAGAAAAAAAGTAAAAATATTACAAATTGTTTCGTTTTTCGCTATTGCAAAATAAAGAATATTAATAAATAAATCAGATTTTTTTCTTCTAAACGTTTTGGTTTTCCCATTTATTAAAATGGTTTTTAATCGTTATTAACGTTTTAAACGTTTTGTGTGTCGACACATATTGGTCAAACTAAGGCAATTAGATAGAAATACCAGATCACAGCTCGGCCATTTTAAAGTGAGTAATATATGGTTATTGCATCATTAAAAGCGAGTGTCCCGATTTATCAAATCATCAATATCGATGGCGCAATTGATTGCAATTTCAAATCCCGCACAAAAAAGAAATGAAAAGAAACAGCGCAATTCATTTTTCGCAATTTCTTTTTTCAATTTTTACCCGCAAATAATACTTTTTAGGGGAAAATAAATCCTTTTTTTCCCACGGCATTTGCCACGCCTTGAAGCAACCACCCTTCATAAAAATAAGACTTTGCAAGCGATCGGGTATTAATTAGCTAATTTGCGTTAATTGGTAACCAAGGACATTTTTTCCGCAGGTCTTTCCCAGGCTGGGGAAACGAGTGCGTCATAATTGAGTTAGCGTTACGAATTTTTTTCTTGTTTTTTTTTTTTTTTTTGTTAAGCTACTACTATGCATTTCGTCTCATCTCCCTTGTCTCCAAGAAGGATTTTTTTTTCTTTCTTTCTTTGCCCCACCAACCTAAACATTTCCACGTGCAACTTTACAGGACTGTACCTTTTGAAAAAAAATCTTATTCTTTAACGTTTGCATTTAACGTTTCGCTAATTTACCGTAACGAATATATTTACGCAACGACTGTCATTTTTGCATTCGCTTTTCTTTTCCTTTTCAACTCAATTTCCGAGTTATTTATTGATATCGAGGAAAAAAGATAAATTTTTGGAAAAACGAAACAATTTTCGAAGAAGAAATTTTTTCTATTTCCTATTTATGCTCACAATAATTAATAATAATAATTTTTGATAATTATTAATAATAATAATAACAAATAATTATTATAGTAATAATAAAAATAGTACCTAAATAATAATAAAATATTGAAATTAATTCTTGTCATTGAATAATTTAAGCATCAAGAGAATTCGAAAAATTTTAATATTTCGTGAAACACTTTTTTTATAGTATTAAAAAGGAAGAAAAATACGATTTTTCCAAATCGGTTATAGTTCTTATTAAACGATAATAGTTGTAATTGATCACTAAATGAGGTTAATTATTTTTTAATGTCTTTATAATTACAAGATATCAAACAAACAGATATCTTTAAGGTGTCCTATTTTTTTATTGTAATTAAATAGGAATATAGCGATATCGACTTTGTCTGGGGGCTAAAATTAAAAACTCTATTTTTATATACTTTTTCACAAACGTTATTTTTCGTTTTCCACTTTTAAAAAAGAGGTTTATAAAATATTATTATTATTACTACTATTATTACTATTATCATTATTATCAACACTTTTTTTTAATTTGTTTATTCACAATTTGAAAATTGTTGTTTTATTCTTCAAAACAGAAATGAAGAACAAACAAAATTGGAATAAAATTCCTCTTTTTCGTGATTTCAAACCGGAAACGACTCTATGATTCTTGCGATAATATTAATTTGCAAGAAAAAAAAAGAATAAGAAAGACAATAATTTACTTGGTAGCAGTTGGCACGAGGTTCCAATCGTAACCCTTGAGAACTTTGGCGACGGCGGCGCTGATTCCTTCACCATTTGGTCCAATTGGTGAATTATTATTTTTACTGCTCGAATTATTGTTCTTCACAATATTAATGCCCGTTGAGATAATATTACACGAAGATTCGCCCTCAATATTTTTTCTCTTCGCCGTTGCATAACGATAGGCAACTTCAATTTCGCTTGAATCAATTAACGATGCATCGCCATTCCTTTTATTTGAAGAATTTGAAAATGTTTCTGAATCCAATGAGAGAATAGCAGCAGATTCCTCAATGATTTCGTTCATTTTTTTCTTCAACGCCGGACATCGGAATGCAGCTTCCGTTCCATTATTTAAAGATGAATTATTTCCATCGGACAATATGTCATTCATTTTTCTCTTCACACAAGAATAAGCATCTTCGGCACCCGATGGAATCTCATCTGAAATGTCATTGTGTTTTCTCTTGACGCACGTGGCAAAAGAAGCATCACCACCATCCACGTGGTTCATGTCATACGATTCTTCCTCATCGGTTGAATTCCTTTTCAAATTACTGTGATGATGATGATGATGATAAGAAATCTCTCCCTTATTTAATAAATTATCAATTTGATTTCCTCTTCGTTTTGTCATTGGACGACGAAATCCAGTATCACTATCCTCCATCATATCGTTCAATCGTCTTCTCGCTGATGTACACGAATAAGAATATTTTCCACCCGTTGAAACCTGATTTGACAAATTGGAATTATCAGTCATAATTTCGTTCATGTTTCATGTAAAGTCAATTAATTTTATTGTTTAGTATTGAAATTTTATGCACAGTGAGAGAGAGAGATTAGAATATATTCTTCCTGGAAACTGGAATAGGTCATGGAGTGTACGCAATCTTGAACAATTTATAAAAAAAGCGCACAAATCAAACCAGCTGGGATGCTGATGATCTTTACTCTTTGGCTTCTCACACGTAAACTGTCAGGTTTAATTAATTTGACTGATTAAGACAAAACACTTGTAATTGTGGCTGACGCAAAAACACAGAAATAAACAGCGAATATCTTATCTGCATTATTGTTGTTATTATTATCGTCAGAAATGTTTAGGAAACAATTGTTAAAACACTCTATATATTCTCCATCAAAACTGTTCCATTTTTCTCTCGTCAAATTTCTCCTATTTTCCGAATTTTTATTTCACTTTCACGAATATCACAATTTCACCTCATAAACAATTTTTTCAGAAAATAACTTTTTCTATACTATAAAAAAAAGCCTATATAGACTTTTTACAGAAGAATTCAAAACGAGACAAGTAGAGAATTTGAAATATAATTTTCGAGTATAGTTTATGAATTGTAGAAAAATTTAGAATCAAATTATAACGAAGAATAAAACTAAAGAGGGATTAGAATTAGAAGAGAAAATAAAAAAGAATCTCGTGACGCGACACACGACAATATTGTGTGTGTTGTATACGGAAGTCAATGCGAGAAACGTCAAAATGTGAAACTGGTACCGATGAGTTTCTGGTGTGCGACACGTTTAGCGCAGAAGTGAGGTGGTTGCATTGCCTCAGGGCAGTTTCCACCACGCGACTATCCATTTGAAGGCGGAGCGAACGCCTGCTGTTAACACTTGTTGCTTCCAGGACCATATAGAAATGAGTGCGATGGAGAAGCATCGAGAACGAGAAAACATTATAAAAAATCGTTTAAAAGAAGGAGATAAATGCGATAGAGAAATTCTTCAAAGGGGATGCTGGAGTTCATAAAAAAAATTATAAACTGCTATTTTCAAAAAAAAATTCCTTCACTTTCGCTTACGGAGTTGTGGCTAATTAACAATCCTATTTAAATGTTAAGATACATTATTAAGAAGAATATTTTTTTATTTTTTTTGTTAGGAAGAATATTTAATTTAAACAACGAATTCAAATTTTAAGAAGAATATTTCGAATTACAGAATTTCAATCGAGAGAAATACTTCAATTTCGAAAACAGAATATTCATTATCATTATTCAAAAGAATATTTTGTTTTCGTAGAGAATTTCTTAATTTTAAATCGAAAATACAGTTTTAAATGGAATATTCAATTTTAAATCAAAAATACAATTTTGAAAGGAATATTTTAAATCGAACATTCAATTTTTACTGGAATATTCAATTTTAAATCAAATATTCAATTTTAAACCAAAATATTCCATTTTAAATGGAATATTCAATTTTAAATAAAATATTCAATTTTTAATGGTATACTATTGAATTTTAAATCAAAAATACATTTTTAAATTGAATATTAAATTTTAAATTAAAAATACAATTCTGAGTGGAATATTTTAAGTCGAATATTACATTTCGAATGGAGTATTCAATTTTAAATCAAAAATACAATTTTGATAGGAATATTATAAATCGAACATTTAATTTTTACTAGAATATTCAATTTTAAATCAAATATTGAATTTTAAATGGAATATTTAATTTTAAATCAAATATTAAATTTTGAATTTAAATATTAAATATATTAAATCAAAAATACAATTTTGATAGGAATATTTTAAATCGAACATTTAATTTTTACTAGAATATTCAATTTTAAATCAAATATTTGATTTTAAATGGAATATTCAATTTTAAATCAAATATTAAATTTTAAATTTAAATATTAAATATATTAAATCAAAAATACAATTTTGATAGGAATATTTTAAATCGAACATTTAATTTTTACTAGAATATTCAATTTTAAATCAAATATTTGATTTTAAATGGAATATTCAATTTTAAATCAAATATTAAATTTTGAATTGTATATTAAATTTTAAATCGAAAATACAATTTGGAATAGAATATTCAATTTTAAATCAAAAATGCAATTCTGAATGGGATATTTTAAATCAAATATTAAATTTCGAATGGAATATTTAATTTTCAATCTAATATTAAATTTTAAGTGGAATATTCAACTTCAAATCGAATATTAAATTTTGAATGAAATATTAAAATTTAAATCGATTTTTAATTGTAAACAAAATATTCAATTTTTATAAATAATATTTGCATTTTTCAAGCAGACGTTTCAGTTTCAAATAGAATATTCCAATTTTCCAGAAGAATATTCCAAATTACAATTCATTTCTTTGACCCAAATTTCAATTTAAAAAAAACTACTCCCTTTTTTACAGAAATAGTTAAATTCAAAAAAGATAATTTCATATTTAAGAAAAATAACTCCGTTCTAAATATTAAACTTTTAATTAAGTTGAATCGATATTCGGAATATTTCTTTTTATCAACAAACCTTGAATTAAATTCACAAAAATTTTTCTAAAAAATTCGAATTTTAAAAAAATAGGAATATTTTTCAATTAATGATTTTATGAACTAAATAATATAACACAATTTTTACGACTCCAGCAAATTCTTCGAAACGAAACATAAAAAGCGACAAGTTATGTAACTTGTCCCTTTTTATGGAACTAAATTACCCAAAAAAAAAATTGTTTCTTCGTACCTAATAAAAAAAAACTACTACACATTTTCGTTATCAGTATTTTTTTTCGAAAATTTTTGTCTCACTTGCACACGCAGTACTTAGGATATAATTTATTTTGGTCATGTCTCTCATCAGCTGAAGAGAGTTTCCATAGCAACGATACACTTATGAGAGGTGGAGAACCAATCCGACAATTTCTTGCTCCTCCCATCGTTTATCTTTCTCTCTCTCTCTCTCCCTCGAACATTGAATTTTATATTTAATCCCGTTTCCCTTTATAACCCTTTGCTCCCACCTACACTTCATCTGTTATTGGTCGACTCGTGGCCAATAATTATGACGTCATGTGCACCTAGTGTGTGTACTCTTTTTTTTTTACTTGAGTTGCTTAGAAAAGTTTATTTTTCAGACACTTCTATAATCTTCTGCTTCCTGAGTCTAGAGAGATGTTTTTATTTTAATATTTGCTTCTTTGCAATTTTGCATATTTTCTACGACAGAAAAATATTAAAAACATGTTTAATTTATAATATTTTAATTATTATTCTCAAATATAATTTTACACAATATTAACCCCGGTTTTTTTTTGTTAAGAAATTGTTTCATTATTGTTTAATATTGTACTTGATTCATAAGTGCATTAAAAAAGAAAGCGGAGAATTTAAAGTTTTATCTTTTTTGATCGGTCATCGATCTCATATTCACGATGATCATCAACAACTGTTATGACACATACATGAGTTAAAGGTAAATTCCGAAAGCATTTGTTGCACAACACCATAACTCGATCGAAATAGTAATAAAAATTAATTAAAATCTAGATATCGAGATACGGATTAACAAAATTTTGGGTTTTTTTTAAATAACGTTAATAAATACAGTTAAAAATAAATATCTCATTTGGGATACGTATTTAATTTAATGAGTCTTAAATACTAACTCTATATGAAACTGATCCACAAAAAAAACTCATAAAGCTCAAAAATATTAATATAAAACTATTTATAACTATTTCAGGCTTTACACTTGATAATTATGTTTAAAAAAGCAGCAAGAAGTAGATTTAAGATTGAAAAGAAGTAGAAAAAAATTAGCTACCGAAATATTAAATTTGACTATTAAATAAATTCGTTTTAGTCGATTCACAAGATTATGTTTTTCTCAGACTTTTTTCTGATTTCGTAAAAAATATAAACTGTTTTTCTTATCCGCTTAAATTCAATTCTAAATTTTTCTAAAATTCAATTATTTTCCAAATTTTTAGTTTGAATTCTTTAACAATGCGATTCTATTTTAAAATAAATGTTAAAAGGCAAAAAATAAAATTCTTTAAAATGTAAAATTTATTTCAAGACAAAATTTCCAATTTTTTCAATTCTTTAAAATTATTTTCGGGAATTCAACTATCATCAAAAACTTTTAAGCACATTCAAATACCTATTTTTTTTCGGAATTTCTAAATTAAATTATTCAAAACGATTCACGATAACCCTTCTAATATTCAAATTTTTTCTAAAACTTTAAGTTAAATTTATATTTAAATCAATTCTTATTAGCAAATTCTTTGAGAATTCAATTATTAAAATACAAGAATAAATAATTTATAGAACAATTGAAGATTTCTGAAATTGAATTCTCATAGAGAATTCTAATTAAATTTTTAAAAAATTATATTGAAAATAATTAAATTCATATAGAAAAATTATATTAAAATTAATAAAAATAAATGATTTCTTTTCTAAAATTCTGTCAAAATTTGTCTAAATAATTCAAATGTTTCGAGAAACTTTAATAAAATAGTATAGCTATTGAAAATAGTTTATTGTCCGCAAAGTTTTCTATTATTTGTGAAAATAATTGAATTTCAGAGAAAAATTTTATTAAAAATTTTTAAAATAAATTCTTTTGAAGAATTTTATTAAAATTTTTAAAAATAATCGGATTATTTAAAAAAATTTTATTAAAATTGTATAAGAAATAAATGAATTCTTCCAATAAATTTTACTATTTTTGGAAAAATAATTAAATTTATTCGAGGAATAATTTGTTCAAAATAATTGAATTTTTGCGAAGAATTTTATTAAAAATGTTTTTAAATAAATTTTAATAAAATAGTAGACATTGCAAATAATTGAATAATTAATTACAGAATTTATGATTCTTCAGAATAAAATGAAGCTTTTAGTGGCACAAATCTAAGAAAAGTATCCAAATAATATAGCAATCGTAGAAAA